AAAGTCGGCAGAAGAGTTATGTCGACAAGCGTCAATCAGATCTAGAGTTCTAGGTTGCGGAAATGGTTCTTCTGAAGGTGTCACCTTGGAAAGGTGTCATCCGATTCAGGAAGAGGGGAAAATTGGGCCCCAGGTACATCGGTCCTTTCCGAGTTTTGGGTCGGGTTGCTTATCGCGTGGATCTTCCCGAGGAGCTTAGTCAGATCCATAACACATTCCATGTCTCTCAGTTGTGGAAGTGTTTAGTGGTTTATTCCGCGACGGTTCCATTGGAGGATATTCAGGTGGATGATCGCCTGAATTATATCGAGAGACCAGTGACGATTCTTGATAGGAAGACGAAAACCTTGAGGAACAAGGTTATTAAGTTGGTGAAAGTCCAGTGGCAACATCGCAATGATTCTGAATGAACGTGGGAGCTGGAGGATGAAATGAGGGAACGTTACCCAAAGTTTTTTAGGGCAACGAACTTTGAGGACGAAGTCTGATTCAAGTGAAGGAGAATTATAACACTCGTAATATGGTAAGTTTCCTTTTAGCCCTTATTTCAAAATTCTTTTCATTTTGATCCTTGGTTAGTACGCGGTGCATACTCTATGAGTGCGCTTAGCGTACTAGCTCTTTGCTAGTCGCGGGCTTCACCCACGTACGATGGGCATACGTGGGAGTACGCTAGGCATACGCATTGTTTGGGCAAACCCTAATTTTTAGGATTTGCACCCTATTTAAGCAACTTAAACCACCTCTTGGACATTTATTGACCAACCTCCACCTCCCTATACCCTGAAAACGAAACCCTAAGTGCATTTGGTGAGATTTGAGCTTGAAAGTGAGTATGTTGGTGTTTTGTGGCGAAGAAGAAGATGATGAACACTTGGGGAAATAGCTTGAGCTTGTAGATACAGAGTGACCTTTACCTTTGCAAGCCTTTTGAGGTAAAAAAACTCTCACCTTGATGGTCATTTGTGCTAGATCTATTTTATGGTGTTATTTATGCATTTTTGAGTCTTTTGAGTTAAAGTTGAGCTTTTGATCTACTCTAGAAGCAATGGATGTTAGATCTTAGCTCCATGGAGGTCCATTGTTCATAAAAATGCATATTTTATGAAAGATATTGGTCCATGCAAGTTTTAAGATCTTTATTAAGCTTTTTTTTAGTGTTGGGTCCCATTAAGCCATGTATGGGTGTAAAGTTGCCAACTTTACATATTAAGTCTCCCTTAGGGACCAAATCTGAGAGTTTGGCAAAGAGCCTTAACTGTTTAAGTGCTTAATGAAGTGGTTTGGGAGTCTGAGGCGTACGTTGGGCGTACGAGTTGAGTACGCCCCGTGTACTCAGCAGATGGACGCATGGGCTTGGCGTTCATAGATTTGGGTCATTCTTTGGACATTTAAGATTGGGCCTTGATAGGCCATTAGACTTCTGATTTGGGCTTTTGACTAATATATTGGGCTTCCTTGGATTTAGGCCCATGATGGGTTTTTGGCCCAATTTGGAAGATATGGCCATATTGGGCTTTGGGTTGTCATTTAGGATTTGGGCCTTTTGAGTAGTTAGGTTAGGCCTTGGTTTTGGGCTAAGTAAAGAAAAGGGTAAAATGGTCTTTTACCCTGGTTATGGGCTAAGTAGATTAGATTCTTGGTTATAGGTCGAGATCCAATTATTAATTGGATATTTTTTTTTATGATGATAGTGCGGGGATTTTCCGGACCAGCAGACCGAGATTCATTTGAGTGTTTCAGCAGCTAGATGTGAGTTTCCTCACTGTGTTTAGCGGGTCAAAGGTACCAATATCGGCCCATGATTTATTATGTTTAGGATGCTAGATGTATGCTTGACTCTTGCATATGTTATGTGTTTATAAGTTTACCGGGCGAGGCCCGATAACCATTATGTATGCTATTTATCTTTGTGATTATTGCATGTGTTATATGTTTATATGTTTGTATGTATACCGGGTGGGGCCCGATGACTGACATAACTGTATACCGAGTGGAGCTCGATGTCGGGCTGGGCCCGATGACGGGTGGGGCTCATTATATGTTTGTTATTATGGTATGTGGTATTCTAGGGAACTCACTAAACGTTGTGTTTACGGTTTTCAGTTTTTGTTTTCAGGTACTTCTGGTTCGAAGGGGAAAAACCCGAGATGATTGTAGTGCACACGTCATCTCATTATGCATTTTATGTTACTCTGATGTTTTGTGATGTTGATAAACTTCTTCCACCATGATTTTTATGATGATGTTTTGGATAATAGTTTTATTAATTTAAAAACAAAAATTTTTACTCTTAATTTTTGGGACGTTTCAGAAAACCATAAAGTTCATGTTTGTAGCCAATTGCACAAGAAATATGGCGAAAAGGCAAAAAAAAAAAAGAACTAGAGAAGGGGATAAATACCTGGTGCTTGATCTCAATTGCAACAACGAAGCGACGTCCGCAAAAAAAAAAGACGACAACACGCCGAGGATTGTGAGGACACACTGACGATAATGAGGAAGACGGCCCATAAATCCTTGTCGTATGAAACAATTCCTACGATTTTGAAAACGTAAGTGTATAATGTTATGTCTAAAGAAGTAAGGGTATTATTATCTATTTACTTAGTTTTTTCAAGTTTAATGATTTTCAAATGGTAAAAAAGATTATTAGATAATAAAATATATTAAAAAAATATATTTGTGTAAAGTCGATATTTTAAAACACTAAGAATGGCAAATATGATATTTAAAGTTTAAGTTGGACAAATACGATAATAATGAGTCAGCTTGGAATTTTTCTAAGCATATTTCTTTCTAAATGTCATATTCTAACACTCGAAACCGTGAGATTGCCCTAAATATTTTTAGGTATTTTTTCTCAGTGTTACAATGCTAATTACATACATTTTCCTCTATAGTCATCGTTATGAGTCTGGTAATTTTATACACACTAATCCATATTATGACTACAACCATATTAATCATTATGAACCCTTTGTTTGCCTTCTCATGTAATACCAAAAACCAATTATGCTTTATTCAGTATAATGACCACAAATATAAATACCCGTCTTTGGGATCATTTTAAGTAGCCTCTTTGTCTGTAACTAAATTAACAACAATACAAAACAAACAAATTTAGTATTCATTCAATCAAACAAATGAAATGTAAAAGTTGTCAAATTAAAGATTCTTTGAAAACTTACTTAGATACAGTCAAACAATATATATTAAATCATCAATATATTATGTAATCATCATCTTTGTCAGCATAAATGACTTTTTTACAGAAATTGTTTACAAAAATTAGTTGGATCCCGTTTCCGTGGGGTCTGTCCTGTTTGGAGGTATTTATTAAAAAAAAATCGGGGACGGAGACAAATTTAACCCCCGTTTTAATTTTGGGGGAGGGGGCGGGGGTGGGCAGTTCCGTCCAGAAACCCCATGAGGCCCCCGTTAATAAATTATACATACATTTACATATATTAATTATATAAATATAATAAACAATAACATGATTTTGAGCTTCTAAAATTCAACAAAAAATATGTTTTTAAGTTGTTAGTATAATGGTTTTAAGATGTCATAAAAAAATTTAACATGTAAAATTTTGCTATAAATAAATATTTGTTACCTAAAAAATAGCTTCTTTTAGCCCAAAAAACAACTTTTTTAGCCCAAAAAAATGCAGCCCAAAATCAATTGGAGGTGAGGAAATGGGGGCGGGCGCAAGGGTAAAAAGGTGGATTCATGGGCGGAGACAAGGGTATGAAGACTGGACATTTCGGGGACAGGAGAACATGAAAAGTTCAGGGGCGGAGGCGGGGGATGCACTCTCCGTCACTTTTACCCCATTGACATCCCTAACAAAAATACCATATTATATCACTTATTGGTCATTATCGAATTTAAATATGAGATTTACTATTGATCGCAATTTTATATCGATGTAATTTACAAACTTAACTAATTTATGAAACTAACTGGATGTAAGTAAATTCACGAGGAATAAATATCTCTCAGAAGACCATTGCGAGCTATCACGAACAATAAATTCCCCTCGCAAGACCAAATCGAGCCAACTCTTCGAAAAAATATTATTGAAACTTTGCAGCCTTTAATTTGAGGATATGATGATATTTTTCCAAGGGTTAAAATTGTTTTTTAAAAACAAATTATTATGATTGTTTTCAAGTTGAAAACAAACCAAATTTAATACTTTAGAAAGGAATTATACTTTTTTTTTACCTACTATACCAAATATAAAAATACATTTTCAATTTTGCATTCTTAGCCTAAACTGTAAATTTTATTAAGAATTTGGTTTGAAATTTAAATTTGGTTATGAATCTGTTCTAAACTTTTTATTATTTAACAAATTCGCCCCATTTTTAATTTTTTTTTTTTACATTTTTTCAATTTGTTTCTAAACTTTTAAGCGTCTTTAAAACTTTTTATAGATTTTTTTTCATATATTTTTATTGCTTTCCAAAACCTGTCTAATGATTTTCTTTTACATGTTTATACAACATTTGTACATATTTTTATAACATTTTCACTGTCTTTCTAAACTTGTATTACAACATGTTAAGTTTTTTATAGCATTTTCATACATTTTCTTAAATAATATTTTTATGTTTTGACTAACGACTTTTTCATTTAACGTGCTTTTTTATAATTCTTTTGCAAAAAAGTTATAAAGAGTTTAAAAAAAATGTTGTAAGAAATAACTATTAGAAAGATTGTAAAAAATATTAGAAAATTTACCAAAAACTTTAGAAAAGGTTTAAACGTGTTGTAAAACATTTGCATAAAAATATAAAAAAAGTTAAAATGATAATATAATGAAAATTTGCGAAAAAGTCCCAAAGTTTTGCCCTGGTTTATGATTTAGTCCTAAATTAATTTTCATTAATGAAAAATGACATGTTACCGTCTATTACACTCACTTTAGCCCTTCGAACCGGTAACCCTTCTATTAACCGGTTGCCCTAGCTGAGTCGGACTTCAAGTCATTAAATGAATGCTCCTAGTCGATATTTTGCTCTTATAACCCCACCAGACAAATTTTTGCCAAAAAAAATGGCATCTTCAAGCTGAGTGGGAAGTAGGAGCAATATCTGATCAAGAAGGCAAGCATTAAGGGCAACATGCTTTTGTGAATACCCCGTTGGTAAGTGGACATCATGGATGCCAACAAACCCTGACAGGAGGTTCATCGACTGCCCTAATTTTTGGGTAAGTATCCATTAATCCTCTTTTAATTACATCTCAAATCTCTTTCAATTAGGTTTTATTTCCTATATAACAGGATGAGGAAAAAGATTGCAAATATTTTGTTTGGGTCGATCCCCCATTACCAAACAACTGGTACTGAAACATGTTGATGGATTTTCACAACAATGACATTCAAGTAAACAATGATTTTGTGGAAGAAGATGTGGATTTTCACAACAATGGCATTCAAGAGGTTCCTATACAAGGTGAATGTCCAAAATGGAAGATTGGGTTTTTTGTGTTTGTTAGTGATTGTGTGGACAATGTTGAAGTAGTTTTAGGTTATTGTTTATCTTTTGGTAATGTATGTAATCTGGATTACTTAAATAACAGTTGGTTGTAAGTTGTATGTTATGGAATGAAAAATGGTTTTATTGATATCTAGTGTTTGAGCAATGTCCAGTTGGAAGTGTATGATGTGAGCAAATGAATGATGTTTTTTAACGTAACATAATGACCAAAATGGATGTAACTTTTACATCAACAAAACATGTTTAATTTACCAAAGTTGGCTAAACTTAGAGCCAAAGTGTTAACAATGCAGCCATATTGAATATTGTTTACAAAAGAAAGGGCATATTAACAAATTAACCAAAAAGGGCTTCCTAACAAATTTGCCCAAATAGCCCATATAATGGCTTAAATTCTAACCAATCTACTCTAAAATAAGAGGTTTTCGTGAAGCCAATCCTATTCCTTTATTGTCCACCACAATTTTCTTCAACATGTTTTCGGTGATCCTTTCAGAAGGTTTTTTAGTTCTAACCCCAACTTGACTTCTAACCCTAACTTGAGTATCATCAACTCCCTCTTCATCATCATCAGTTCCATCTTCATTAGTATCCTCCTGTGTTGCATCAACTCCATCTTCATTAGCCTTTTCGTCCTGTGTTTCATCAACTCCATCTTCATAGTCACTTTCCTCCTGGTTTTCATCAATTCCATTAAATCCATTTGGAATTGGTTGAGATTCTGGTACATGTTGACTCTCAAAAGGCACATCCTTGCATGGGAAAAAATACAAGTTAGTTATGTTATTGAAAAATAAAATTCACCCTCAAGGTTAAAAGATATACCTTTGGAACTTGTTTGGATTGGTGAAGCAAAGCATCAAATCCTTTAAGTTATTCTCTGGTGATATTAAGACACCAAAGGATCTCTGCTTCACTGTATTTTGACTCTCTCAGGTAACTCAAATCATGCAGTATTTGATCCGTATCAGCTATATCAAGACTATCACCTTCAATATCAATCTCAACATCTGTTTGTGGAATATCTTCACTATCAATAGTAGGTGTTGTTTGGGGAATAACTACATGCTCAACATTAGGTGTTGTTTGGGGGACAAATTCACTCTCAACCCTAGGTCCTTTTTTGGGTATCCTAGACCTTGATGGAAAATGTAGGTTACAAAATTTCTATGCACTAAGCGGAAAACATTTAAACAATTCAAATGATTAGGGCACATGCAACCTATTGAGGATCTATGTCTTTCACATATAGGCAACATACTATGAGCTATAATCCTACAAAAATTTTCTTATGAAAAACAAATTCAATAGAATAAGAAACTTACTTTGAAGATTGTTATTGCAAACAACCTTGAATCCTTCTTCAAATCTTTTGGCAGCTAGCACTACAAGTTTCGTGTCTTTAATGGTTCACACCCAAGACTAGCAACTGAGGATCATGCAAAGGGAGGAGGTGATTTTCTGCCAGATCTCTTCTAGGGTTAGGAGTGCCGAAATTCATAGCCCTAGGGGCCTATTTATAGTACAGTTAGGAAACCCTAGATAAGCCCAAACCCAGTATAATAATATTTGGGACATCCCCAAATTCACGGTTATTTTAAAAAATTTATTTATGCTTATTTTAAAATCAGAGTAATATTTTTGAAGAATAATATTGTGGAATTTGTTCCCAGAAAACATGATAAATACGTTATCAAAGCATTTCCGAAGAAATGTATTTTGTTTATATTAAAACTTTGGGATGTCATTGTCAATACAGAAACATAAGCATACACATACCTTACATTCATTTACACTAATGATTTACATCTCCTTTAATCTCTCAGTGTAATGTGTCATCGTATCGATACCTGTGATACAAATAAACTGAGTGGGACAAGTTGGAAAACCTCGTGAGTACATAGGGTTTTCAACCCATAATAATATAGTTAATTTGTTTCTTCACATAATTCATGTCAAACAATTAACCCGATTACACATCCCCATTTTCTTCATTTAATCTTCCCTAAAGATTTATCCTAAGGGTCATCTCCTACATCGTATTTACCTATCATCTCCCTACATCGCATTTCCTTATATGTTTGTTCTTAAGGACTTTTCCTAAGAATTATCGCCTACATCGCATAGACAGTACTAATTCGGGGATTACTCCCCCAATACGTGTCCAGTAAGGGTTAGGGTATCATCACATGAATACGTAGTTACAACATCGCCTCAGCTCGTAATTCAAAGTAAGGGTTAGAGTATCATCGCATGAATACGTAGTTACAACATTGCTTGAACTCGTAATTCATCACCTACAGGTTATGAGCCTGCTGGTGTTTCCACATGACTGTCTAGTATAGTCTGTGGTCGCCATCTATACACTGGTAGATGACTACATCGCAACGTCGTAGGTCAAGATTATGGCATCTCCTCACATCTCACATCACCTATTTATCATCACCTAGTTATCATCACCTTTTTATCATCACCTTTCTCTAATCACCTGTCGCTACCCAATATATTTGTAAGTATAAAAATACATATACAGTTTAAATAACATAAACATGTATAAATCATTCATCTAGCATAAATATCATGAACACAAATATTATGCACACATAGCGCGTAATTTATATTAAATACTTCATATCTATGTGTAAGATGAAAGTAATTATTATTACTAAATTTTAGTCAAATATTTATTGTAACTAATTAACTCAAGGTCTACGAGCGATATTGTTTTATAAATGTTAAATAATAATTTTCAACCGCTATGTACAGACAGGGGCCAGACATGAAACACCGGAGGGCGGGACCATTTTGGCATTTAAGCTGTTCTGAAATCCAACAACCCTATGCGGCCCTTCAAACCAGATTCCCCGTACCGTGAGCAGTTAAAAGGTATTATAATAACATTTTGTATAGTTTATAATACTTAGCACATGTATTGTTTAGAGGTTCATAATAACGATAATGAACTTAAACATAAGTTATACTTAAAATAGGGTAAGCATAACTCACTTACAATGGGGTTTTAGCTAGAAGTCGGGCTCTGCGGGGCAGAACTTCGTCGCTGTATCTTTCTAAAAAGATTCTTGTAGCGCTTCAGCGCTCACCTTACTATACTGAAACTACAGAAAGAGAAGTTGAATCACTTGGGACCGAAATGTTTGGGGGATAAGAAGAGAAATACTCTTGAATCAAGAGAATGGTGCAGAAATATGAGAGCCTAGAGCCTCTTATTTATAGTAATTGAATTTTCAAAAACCACCCTCTATAATTACTTAAATGACCAATCACCCCTTTATAATACTATTTTAAATAGATTTAATGATATTTGTACTAAACTAATGTCGAAAGTACTCAACTAGTCTTATAACGACCGCATCGTCGATATCTTTCTAATGATATACACATATGTATATATATGTATACGTATATATGATTTATACTTTATTTTAATACGTAAATATGCTATTATAAATTATAACTCGTTCATATGAACTCCATTTTTGACGTTCTTTTATATCCACGCGTAGATATCAATGAGATCTACAACTTTCGTTTAGACTCCGTCGGCTAATTTTGATATATTTTTCGTCCATATTTTTATAAAATTAAATGATTTTGCTAAAATCATAACTCTCTCGTACGGACTCCGTTTTTTGACATTCTTTTCCTCAAAATTCTTATTTCAAAGAGTAATACGATTTTCTTTTTGGTGACTGTAGCTAAAAGTCAATCATTTTCTTTGTAGCTTTTTATGCCATACATTCATTGTGCGCGGCTGACTTTTATATCTTATAAAAATCATATCTAGTTCATACGGAGTCGGATTTCTACGAAATTTATATTTTCGTGATCGGGAAGAGGTGCACTTTCTAAATATATAATAATATATATGTTTTGGCGCACTTATTTTTATGATTTACAGACGATTCAACTGATTTTTCCTATTTTATTATATTATAATAATCATAAAACACATAATATTCATATAATTCTTCTTTATTACGTCAAATAGGTTACAATTGTCGACCATAACTATTACTTTAGTTAAGATTATTTATGGTAGATAATCTTCTATCAAAAAAATCATTTTAACATTTATTATCTTTAAATTGACTAACTCAAATCTGCAGGCGTTACAATATTATCTTGAACTGCGTAATTATCTAGTTTCCTAATTATCCACCAAGGATAATTCTACAAACCCTAAGGCTCCTCAAAACTATACATAGCTTCATGGAGGGTTCTAGAATGCCTCTTGCTCAACTATTAAACAATTGCTCTTTAGTCCCTGCATTTTCATTTAATTATTTTAATCACCAAATTAATTCTAATTAATTTCTGATTAAAAATTAATTAAATATTACTATTTCTAATTAATATAATATTTCCATAATATATTGACAAGTTATTTATTTTAATTTATTAATCAAATAATAAATCATTCTCTCTCTCCAAAATATTCTTGTCCAATTGTTAGGTTTGAGGGAAAGCCAAAATAACTGTGCTCCCATCAATTCAAGATTATATCAATTACAGTTATGGGCTTAGACACCTAATCCAACAGTCTCCCATTTGGATAAGTCTGTAACTATAACTGCCAGTATAACTTCCAAATTGATCAGCAAATTGTAGCTACCAAAAGTTGTTGTCGAACTCTGATCCAGTCAGTTATGTGTCCTAAGATAAGTGATCATATAATCCTCCGTTCAGCAAGATATCCTTCGGATATGAGACATGGAACATAATCAATCTCATTATCCAATATTTTGTTTCCCGATTTCTGATTTGTAATGACATAGAACACCAAATCACCGAGGGGCCAAAATATATCACTTTCCCGTTAAGGCAAAAGGGACAGATAAACTTTGACTTATATGCTTGTACTATCTACTCACCAAATCATGCAGAACAATACGTTTTATAACATCAAGTTACTGATGCGTTTATGTATCATCAATGCACAGCTGATTTGTAAACCACAACTCATATATCTTCGTTTTAAAGAGTATAAGATATTATCGTCTCAGAATTACTCGTGATAAATTACATGCAGTAATTCTCTGAGTGTAGGTTAATCCAGTACTTAAATCTCCATTTCAAAGTACTCATGAACATTGTAGCAATACAATTGCTATGTCTAAAACCTTTTAGACAATCTATAATTCAATTCATGACAGTCTTAATTCACTACTTACTTCCAAAAGTATGATCGACTGTGGAGTTTTGAATAATCGAATTATTAGGGAAGTAAAACATGCAAAATGAAACACAATAATAAATAAGTGACAAGAGGTAGTAAACTAACTCATAAATAATTCTCTATTATTTAATCACCAAAAGTCAATTACATTTATTTTGTTACAAGTTTCAACTAACTATTTAACTACTAAAACTAACATCATCTTTCAGACCAATGCTCCTAGCATGTTGAACGTGTTTGACCCTACTCAGACCCTTTGTGAGGGGATCTGGTTCAGAAGAGATCGCCCCTTCATTATCACAGAGGTCTGGGCTCCTTAATGACTGGAACAACTCCAAGGTCTCCGATGAAATTCTTCAACCAAATAACCTCATTTGATGCTTCGCTCGCCGCTATGTACTCTGATTCACAGGTAGAATCAGCCACTATCTCCTGTTTGGAACTTTTCCAGGTTACCGCTCCTCCATTCATGGTAAACACCTAGCCAGACTGAGAACGGAAGTTTTCTCTGTTTGTTTGAAAGTTGGCATCACTATACCCATTTACTCTCAACGTATCACTGCCACCAAGCACAAGGACCTAGTCTTTAGTTCTTCGTAGATACTTGAGAATATTCTTAACTGCTATCCAGTGAGCTCTACCTAGATTTCCATGATAACGACTGACCATGCTCAAAGAAAAAGCCACATCAGGGCAAGTACATGTCATAGCATACATGATAGATCCAACGACAGAAGCATATGGAACTCTACTCATTTCTGCTATTTCTGCATCAGTACTCGGGCTCTGAGTCTTACTCAGTTTGGTATTACT